TCCCACACTGTAACAGCCACCCTGAAGTGCGTGCTTGTCTCACATGCTGAATAAAAGCAAATTCTCTGGTTTTCATTGCACCTAAGCCTTCACACAAAACTTGGATGAATCCAGTTATGAGCTTGAGGCCTTTGATCCCAGCCCTTGAATAACAGGGCCTTACTGGAGGCATCCAAGCAAGAAGGAAAGGAACACGTGGCAGATGCCTGGAAAGAGCCTGCTCCTTTTCTTTGCTCTTTCTGCTTGCTTCTGGTGCTCTGCTGTACGTGAGTGGTAACTGGAAGAGTAAGACTGAACTCCAAATTCACACCAGAAGGTTCAAGGTATTCAAGATTCGAGGCATTTCACTGAGCTGTGAAGGTTTCTTCCCTTTACGTGGCAAGACGTCTCCCAAAGCACGCAGCGATGAGGGCGATCTGTGCACCCATAAACCCAAAGCCATGTTTTCCAAGCCCATCAGAAGCAGATGACTGCACTTCTGGCCTGGTACAACACGAGGCTCCTTCACACATCCCCAGCTGGGCCAGCAGAGGAAGGCGACACAAGCCCAGAGCAGCAGCACAACACCTCACCTTGCTGAAAACACGGCAAGGTCTGTGCTGGAGGAAGTGCAGAAGAGATGATACTCATGAGCACCCACAATAAGCTCACCTTTTATTTGGCAACATACGCAATTTAAGGGAGCTGCTCTCGCCCACCTGGTGCATTTTCTACCCTAAATTCACAGCAACAGCCAATGCTGCAACCCAGGCCTTGCACTGCAGTGACACTGCTCGCTGACAGTGGTGGGTGGCAGACACACGGGAGCTGGCACAGCCATAAGACAAATAAAAAAGCCCTCAGCAGGACCCACATTTACCTTACTTTTCAGAAGCTTATGAGGCTGTTCCAAATCACCATGAACTAGTTTATGGTGGAACTGGGAGGAAAGAGCAGCGTTATCCTTTCAAAAACTACAACAGAAGAGCTGTACGGGGAGCAGAGGAAAGACGTGAGGTTTAACTATTAAGAACTTTTAAGAAAATCCTCATCAGAGCTCAGGTGTTCTCTTGAAACAGGAAATGTTTCTAGGTCTCTGCAACTCTGCTCAGCTCCACAGCCAGCAGCTGGAGCAAACACGAAGCTGCCAGGGTCACAAGAAGAGAACTGTTAGCCTCAGGAACTGCAGCACCAGCAGGAGAAACGTGCCCGGTCAAAGTGCTGCCTGCATTCCTCTGTGGTCTCAGAGACCAGGAGAAATGAGAAAAATGTCTTTTATGGGAAGTGGTATATGGAAAAAAGCTCAAAGTCTTGGCTTGCGAGATGGACACCTTGCAGCTCAAGCTGTGAGGTTAACAGAAGACAACAACTGCACCAGGTCCCAGCTCGCTCCTGCTTGAGCTCAGAGTCCAACAGAAGCCTCTGTGCTGCCCTGCCACAGCAGCTGGCCCTGCTCTGCTCCTGCTCAGGCTCATTTTACCCACTTCAACACTAGGCATGCTCACTGTGCCGCCACCTCTCTCGTTGGCAGGTGGGAATGTGGTCTGGCAGCAGCTCCCCTCCACAGTTCTCTCTCTATTTCCTAAACTTTTGGCAAGGGTGCGAGATCACTGGCTATCTGGCTCCAACGAGCAGATTCCAGATTTCCTGTGGAAGAATATGAAATTATGAAGTGCTGCTTTCTCCCAGCTCTGGCAACACAGCGTGCTCCTCCCCTTTGCTATTTAAGCAGTCCTTGACACAGAAGGGTCACTGATGGCACAGTGGTGAACAAACTGACAATCCTGGTGGAGCGTGAATCCACTACCTTGAGCTAAAGTTCAATTTTATCGTGGTGGCACGGTAGCAGAAGTTCAGTAAGTTAGCAGTGATTACACAGGAGGCAGCCACAAGCCGGGTCTGGTTCAGTTTTTCTACCTGACACATCATTGTGTAACGATAAACCCAAAGTTCGATCGCTTTGCCTGCAGCTGCCCTCTCAAAATCATCCTGGGGCTCAAGCATGAGCAGTTCAAACAAAGCTAAAGGCAGGATCTGTGCTTCAGAGCAGAGTAACCACAGGGTGGTAGCTTGACAGCAGTGTGGCATGGAGCACCGAGCTCAGCCCGTTGGGGTACTGCATGCCAACTGGCACAGCCTGGTCAGCAGTGTGAAAAGACTGGGCTTGGGGCTTGTTTTCTTGGAAGAAAAGTAAAATTAAAAGGGAAAAAGAGAGGCTGAGAGAACTTAAACCAGCAGCAGGGATCCTCTGCCTACGAGGTGGAGGCAACAACGGGATCCCAACTACGAGCTGGGCAGCTACCACGGGTGCTGTGGAGGCAACAGGGCTCATCTCCCGTGCACAACTGGCACTGTGCTCCTCTCCTATGAAGCTGGTGCCTCGTTTTCCTTGTTGTCCTCGAAGCGACTCCTCCTGAAGAGAAAAAAAGCCGAGACTCCCCCTCTAGACCCCCGCAATCACCTCAGGGACCCCGTGATCACCTCAGGGACCCCAAAACTACCTCAGGGACCCCGTAATCACCACAGGGCCCCCGTAACCACCTCAGGGACCCCACAATCACCTCAGGGACCCCACAATCACCTCAGGGACCCCGCAGTCACCTCAGGGACCCCGCGATCTCACCTGCGGAGCTCCTGGATGTCGGGCGGGATGCCGTGCAGGCGGTTGCCGCCCAGGCTGAGGCTCTGCAGCCCCTTCAGCCCCAGCAGGGCGGGGGGCAGCTCGGCGAAGCGGTTGCCGCTGAGGTTGAGGACGCGGAGGGAGCGCCCCAGCGGCGCCTGCCCCAGCCCCTTGGGCAGCGAGCCGGGCCCCCCCAGCCGGTTGTTTTTAGCCAGCAGCGTGTGGAGGCGAGGCAGGGCCAGCAGCCCCCCGCCCAGCTCCGCCAGCCCCGTGCCGCTCACATCCAGCAGCTCCAGCGCCGGGAACCACTGCGACAGCCCCGCGGGCAGCGGCCCCGACAGCCGCCGGGGGGACAGCACCAGCCGCCGAGCCTCGGCGCTGCGCCGAGAGCGGAGCTCAGCCAACAGCTCCAGCTCCGGCTCTGCCTCCGGGTCTGGCTCCGGCTCCTCCTCGGGCACCGCCGGCTCCTCCGGCTCGGCCGCCGCCATCCCGCTCGGCCCCTCCGCTCCGCTCCGCCCCGGAACCCGCGGGGCTCCGCCGGCCCCCTCCGGCCATGGCCGGCCCCGCAGGGAGGGAGGGAAGGAGGGAGGCGAAATGCAGGGCGCGGGGTTCCTCGGAGCCGCCGCCGCGCTGCCTGCGCGGTGCCCGCCGCCCCGGAACGAGCATGGCGGGGTGGGGAAAGGGGCTGAGATGGCGGCTAGCGAGGGGTTTGGGGCTGGCAGGGGGTGGGGGTCGGTGCACGCCGCTAGCCCATGTGTAGGCTCCTTCACCGCACTCGGGGGAGTGATGTGTAAAAATAAAATTGCTCCTAACCGTAAAATTAAGGGTAACTTTCACACTCAGTGCTCCCACCGCAGCGCGGTGCTGGTTCCTGAGGCGCCACCAGAGAGCCTCCAGCTTCCCGCAGGAGCCCTTTGGCTGTGTGGAGTGGGTGTCGTCTCTCAAAACACTTCCCAAAAACAAAGGCTCAGAAGGATCTCGGTGTACATTGCGTGGCCAAGGTTGGCAGGGACCTCTGGAGGCCACCTGGTCCAACCAGCAGCTCCAGCGGGGCCACCTGGAGCACCTCACCCGGGCCATATACATCCAGATGATACTTGAATATGACACAGAATTGTCTAGGTTGGAAGAGACCTCAAGATCATCGAGCCCAACCTCTGACCTAACACTAACAAGCCCATATCCCTAAGTTCAACATCTAAACATCTTGTAAAGACCTCCAGGGATGGTGACCCCACCACTTCCCTGGGCAGCCCATCCCAATGCCTCACAACCCTCTCAGTAAAGAAGTTCTTCCTAATCTCCAGGGATACCTTTGCCTGGGCATTAAAACACAGCTTTAGTCCCGATTTAACCCACAGATCTTCCCTCTGAAAGTCTGGCAGGCGAAGAGGCCTGATGCAGGTCACAGGCTGGCACCGAACAGACTGTGGTGGTAGCGTACATTAGGCGCAGAGGCAACTGGAGATTCACGACCTCGGTTTGTCGCCCTTTGGCCACGGGTTAAAAGCTGTGCAATCAGTAATCGTGTGCTGGGAGAAGCAGCAGCAGCCTGTGACAAGAAGATTCACAGCTCCGGGGAACTTTTGCCCTGACGATGTCTGGGCTTAGGGAGCAAACTGCTTTTGCTTCTTCATGGTGCATAGAGGAACCTAAAAGGGAGCAGCAGTCCCCTTGGTGGATTCACCCCTTCAATCCCTGATATAAACCCAGAGAGAGCTGCCTAAAAGCAGAAACTGTATCAGGATAGTTATGTCTTTTCAACATAATTGTCTTATGACAGACTAGTTTGATCCCATCTTCAGAATTAAAGGTAATACATACCTTAAAAATGCCATCCAGAGTCTAGACCAGCCACTTAAATAACACATTTCTCAGATTGGAGCTCAACAGCGCTGCAGAACTGCGGTATTTATAGTGCCATCTAGCTAAATTTGTACCTGGCACTTCCTTTCACTCCATTTTAAAATCCTGGGAAATTGTAGCAGTAGAGATAAAAGTAATAAAACAGCCTTATTTTACAGAGGAGAGCTGGATGCCCAGGGAATGCCAAGTGTTCAGACTGTGTACAGGGAGGCTGGGAGGTGCTACAGGGGCCAGGTAGCATTATTTGCTCCAGTGTTAAAAGTAACACTGAGAGTGTTAATTATTTTAGACTGCCTTGAAAAGAACATGCAAGCAGAACAAGGTAACCCAGCTTTTCTCCCAGACAAACACCCAGGGCTTTTCTTCCCAGCTAGCCCAAGGCTGCTGATGGCTCCCTGTAAGCCAGATTTACAAGTCCTCTGGCTACAGGTTGTGGTTGCCTCTGGGTTCTTCCCAATTAGTCCACCCGAGGACTAATTGAAGAGGAAGATGAGGGTTTTCAGAAATACAACACCGGTGTATTTTTTTTTTTTAATTTTGTTTTATTTGGCAGTAATATCCAACCCCCCCTGCTTCAAAAAAAAATTACAAAATCAAGTAAAATAAGTGCACTAAGGAAACCTACGGAATACTGATAAATTTCACACACGTACAGGAGGGAGCACAGAGGGAGGAGGGGGGAGTTCTTTGTTTTCTTGCTTAAATTTGGCTTTTTGAAACAAAACAAAACAAAACAAAATGCCTTCCCCGCCCTTTGCAATCTCTTTGTCCTAGAAGGCAACACCTGGAATTCAGCACTTCCCTCCTCAGCAGCCGAGTCACCCTGCAAACGCGAGCAACCCACAGGCCTGATGTGGGGCATCGCTCACCGAGTGGGTGCCCTTCCCCTCGGAGTGGGGAGGCAAGAGGTTTTGCTCTCTTTTGGTTACCGCAGCCCTTCGAACTGGCACCGTTTGCCACAGGTACGTTTAATTTTTTGAGGGCACAAGGAGGGAGAAGCTCCACTGGAGGTGGCTCTTTCTGTAGGGGCACGTTCCCTGCGCCCCTACCCGAGGCTGTGTTATATGGCTTGTCAGAGAACTTATTTTTCCTGAAAGAGCAGCGCATCCCTCAGCCTTCAGCCCAAGAGCAAGCTTTGTAACCTCAATTTCCAGCACAGAACTCTCCAGCTGGCCCCGGGAGCCATCCTCGCAGAGTGCATGCCCACAGGGGACAGGAAGGAGATGAGAATGTGTACTGCAGCCTACAGACCTTCTGCCATCACCAGCCTCCCCTTCCTGCACACGCTTTGCTTCTCCCAGCTGGAGATTTTCCTGACCGGACAATGAGATCTTCTTCCCATCCAGGGAGAGCCTTTAAGGCAAGCTGTTGTGTTTTCTCTAAGGCACTTGTATGATCCAGTCTGGAAGGAAGCCAGCTGGGAGGCACGAGCTACCTTTCAGAGCAGGGTCAGAATAAAGCAAAACATTTCCTAAAACCACGTTCCTGTGACTCCAGACCCAGCACGTGAAGCTGCTTCGCTCATACTGGTGGGGAGGTGTCTAAAAGGTGCTCCTGTTCCACCAAGCACCAGGACACAAGCAGTAGTGCTGTCCTGCATGCCCTGCGGCTCCTAGGGGCTCATTCCCCTCACCATCACAGCTGCTAGCGTCTCACATCTGGACCTTCATGGGAGAAGAACCCCCTAAGAGCAAGCCCTTTTGTATTTATTACACCAAAGCCTCCAAGCGTGGCAGGGTAGGTTACGACTCCCACTGCAAACGTGGCGCTGTGTCAGTCAGTGGAAGTCCTCTGGATGCACACCAGGGAAACAGCTCAAAGACCAGGCAGCTTGGAACAAATACAGCTCTCAGGTTGAGACTGCAGCAGGGACCAAGCTTTCTTCTTCTCCTACGCTAGCTCATTCTTCCTCTCCAAGGCAAACATGGTGCCAGAAGGGGAAGGCTGGGACACAAGCCCTGCTGATCTTCTCTCAAGCAGAACACACTTCTGATGCGAGTGGAGTTTCGCTCGAGTAACCATTAGGGACAGCGAGACACTTGGCAACAATTGCTGAAGGTGCCCACGAACGGGAAGACAGAAATCACAGGCAGTCATACGGATACGTGCAACCACTTGGGATGCACAGCAGGGGCATGAAGGGAATGTGGACACAGCATGTTCAGGCGTGAAACTGTATGGAACAGGAGAAAATCAGCTGGGCTTGAGGCTAGGGAGGTGATCTCTCGCTAGACTACCTAGCAGATCCCCCTGGGCAATTTAGGGAAGCCTGAGTGTGGACTCTGAGCACAGTCAGTGCTAGCCAAGGGAGCAAAAGACAGAGAGAGCTGCAGTGTCAGCCTGTGTCTGGTGGAACTCGTTACATCCAGCCCTGTCTCTTTGTCCCATCAGGGACACTGCAGTCCCCGACTGAGAAATACCCTGTAGGAGAGGGCTCAAAAGTTGCTTGTGGTGGCTGAGTGCAGTGTGATACAAACTGTGCACGGGCATTACAGCACTGTCAATAACAAAAACCCCACAGGCCGGGTTTTTCTTGAAAGATCTAGAGCTACGAGACATACAAACGCTGCGTTACTACCATAGGAAATAAAGTAAGCAAAACAAAACGAAACAAAAGGGGGAGTCAGCACGTGAACGTGATAAGAAAAAAAAAATAAAAAATATGATAGCACCTTTAAAGAGAGGGCAGGGAGAGTTACGAGTGAGATGAGGTCGCAAGGAACCGTGTGTTGGAGCCCACAATGTCCTGGAGGAGCTGCTGGGGACAGGCCGGTGGAAAGCAAGGAGGAACGTGCTGGATTCGTGCCCGCGGCGTGGCACCACGACTCCCAGGTGGCACGCGAGGCTGAGCAGCTTGGAGGAGCTCGAACCAAAGGGGAGGGGAAGCAGGGCAAGGTCCTTGGCTAATGATGCCCTGCAGCACGCAGAACCCAGCCATGAAACCGTCGGGCCCGTATTTCTGCAGCCAAGGCCGGCGCTGACAACTTTTATCGATGGAGGATCCCCTTTTCTATCCAGCACTCACCTCCGTCCTTTCCCCAGCTCCAGGGGAACAAGAAATCCCTGTTAGCTCCCGGGAGGAGCGGCTGCCTGCTCTGGGAAAGGGTCCCAGGGGCTGCTGCGATTGCCTCCCAGCCTTCCCAAGCCCCAGCAAGGAAGCTCCCTGAACAGGTGGGCTCTGCTCCCCTTTCCTGGCCCCATTCTCTGTGTATTACAAAACAAATAACCCATCGCTATACAATGTAAATATCTGTGACTGGGCAACTGTAGCAGACACTTGTGCATACTGAGCTCAGCACTGGAGGACGGGGCAAGCAGGTTGGGCCCATCCTCCCGGGCTCCTCCGGTGTGGAGGCCCCTCACATCTCCTTGGTGCTCATTCTCTTGGTCTTCTCGGCCGTCTCCTAGAAAAAGAGAGCACAAAACTGACACAGGAGCTGGCAGCGCCCTGAAGACGTTGGTCCACCCACGAGCAGTGCCAACACTGGTTTACATCTCGCAGCCCAACACTTGTATTTGTCCCTCCAGGCAGCAGAGATCTTTTTGCTGTCCTCCCCTGTCTACCAGAAGCCTGCAAGTGCCAGAAGCAGAGGGAACTCCTCCACCGAGAGGACTTTTTCCTAGCCTCACACCAACCTGATGCTTCTGCAGCTCCTGAACGTATCTAGCTAGCTCCTCCTCAGTCAAGTCTTGATCAGGGTGCTGTCTCCGAGCAGGCATCTTCTCGTTCTTCCCTGTAAATGGGAAAAGAGTTCAGTGTTATCACAACCAGGGAATGCAGATTTCAGGGGCAGAACAAAAAGAGGGAATCAGCCTGAGCTGATCATAGCACACCTTGAGCTGAAGGAGGCTTTGCATTGTCCAGCCACACCTTCTCTGAAAGAAAAGAGCCCTTGTGGCTGCCTGGGACTCCAGAACCTGGGTTTCCAGCCTGTCCCTGTCTCTGCTTACACCATGGTAAGTAATAAAACTGTAAGGGAGAGATTTCACTCTGCTTTCCTCCCCTGTTATTTAGAAAAAAACACCTATCATAAGTTCAAACATCTTGGCCTCTTGTAGGGAACAAGTGGAAGCTCAGTGCTATGCCAGCTCAATAACTGACATGCAATAAAGGGTAATTTTGCCTACTGGGGATGCATCTTGCTGATGTATCTGATCTGATTCTTTGGTTTCATCATCCCCCTAACAGCAGCATCTAAACCCTCTGCTGCTCTGACACAGGCAGAAAGTGAAAGAAAGTGTTGTCCCACTGCCTGCTTCGGCCACGGATGCATGGAGCCAAGCAGGCAGCAACACTTGATGCTGCACAGAATCTTTCAAGGCTAGGATACTAACACACAAGTAGGAAAGCTGACTTGCTCACACCTCCACACATCGTAGCAGGCAGTTTCCTATTTTCCATGCATGTCCTGAAGCAGCAGGATGCAAATAAGCTCTGGTCCGGAAGATTTGGTGCTGCGTTTTCATCACGCCAAACCCAACCTGCGAAGCCCAGCAGCACTGCCCCCAGCTCAGTTAGGCACTTTCTGAGCTCTAGACCAGAACCAGCTTGGGTCTGGAAAAGCTAGAAAGGAAAAATCCCTTTTGTACAAAACCAAATAAAACCATCCCCTGGGGAGCGCACAGACCTTCACACGTCATGGCAGTGCACACCCAGTTCCCACAGGCGCAGACGCAGCGGTTGCACTCCACCTGGGTCTCTGCTCCGTCCTCGTAGGTTTCATCTTCCAGGGCACACTCTGGAGAGGCACAAAGCAAGGGCAGTGGTTGTGAGATACGCGGTGGGACAAAGACAACAGACTCAGGAGAGATGCCTTTGGAGGAGGCCTTCCTCTAGCCATCAATCCAAATGTGGACCTCAGTGACTGAAGTATTCACGCTGAATTTGGTGTGTGAAATTAGCCAAAAAATAATTATTTGGGGAAGTCAACCACTTAATTTTGCTTCCTCAAAAGCACACACTGCAATTTCTCAATTAAAATGAGATCTTGATGTGGGATCTGTTTGAATGTCCTGATCGGACACTCCTTATGCATAGAAGAGAACCCCCAAAGTGAAAGTTTTGGTCACTCTGAGCCAACGCCCTGTTCCCGGAGGGAGAAGCTGGGGAAATGGTGAGTGCATTTGCTGAGAGGAATGAAAAAAATCTTTCTCATTTTACCTCACATTTCTTCTCAGAGCTCTGTTATACGGTTAAGTCAAGGCCCTCACAGCACTGAAGCGTGGTGGTTCAGCGCAAACCAGCTGATCATCTCCAGCTTCCCACTGAAGCAGGCAACAACAGAGGTCAACTCAACATTCCCTAAGAAGCACAGGCTCTGTCTGCTTCTCAGAGCCACCACAGAGGGATGGAAACCCAGCACCTTCGGACCGGCAGGCGAAAGTACCCCCCGAGGAGCGGATCAGATGAGCGGCTCCGCGTGCCTGGTCAGCAGAACACTAAGTGGCCTCCACGTGAGCTGTGGCAGTAAGCAGGATTTGGAAGGACAGTGAACTTTGAGACATTTGTCGGGGAGGGTCTCTGTGTGAAAGGCAGAGCGTAGCAGGACTTTGGTCTGGCCTGATTTTTCTAAGGTACCCAGACACGAACTCCTCGCACGATTTATCTCCGCGCTGTTAAATACACGCGCTGACGTTCCCAGCGTGCCTTATCCACTTGACCTACGTCCCTGCTTGGAAAATGCAAACCTTTTCCATCACATGAGCTGTGGGACAGAAGAAGCAGAGCTGTTGACAATGCAGGGATAGAAGAGCAAGGGGTGCTGTAAGACGGGAGGTGGGTGAGCAGACCATCAACATGAACTCTGGGAGTTACAGCATCTAAGTCTGACTGAAAGCTGATCCCTCTCCTTTCCCCCCTTATCGGTACCCCACTGGTTCCCCAGTACAAGCCAAGAATTCCTACTTTTCTCTGGTGGGTTGAAGGATGGGCTGAGGCACTTGAGAAATTCATTGAAGCTGAGCTTCCAGTCGGCGTTTTCATCTGACAGCTCGATGAGGGCATCTACGCAGAGTCCCCTGAAAGGAAACACAGAGGCACGTTCTGCACAGGGCTGCACCAAGCCGGTCCCTCCTCTGCTGGCTTCAGAGTCAAACCAGTAACACCTCGGAAGGCTCTGAGATGCTTTCCACCTTCCTACCACACCCGCTCCCCGCACAGTGCCCACCTGAGCAGCTTGTTGGTCTCCTGGTCCACATAGGTGGTGATGTTGACGGCGGTCTCGTTCTGCTCCACAAACTTCAGGAATTCGGCCGAGTCCAGGCGGGAATCGCCGTCATCAAAGCTCTGCAGGGAGAGAGAGACGGCGAGATGGGAGAGGATCTGATTTATGGGTCCAAGGTACCCCTTTCCTTACCCTTCTTCCACAGGTACTTAGTATTTTTGAAGTGCTGGTTGCATCATCCCTGTTTTGCACAAAGAACTCAGAGAGCAGCAGAACAATCTCCACACCAGCATCAGAAAGGGGAAAGATGGCTGTGGCCTCCTGCTCGCTGATAAGCTACACTGCTTCTCATTCCCCTCCTGCTGCTTGATTTATGGCTCTAACCCCATTTATTCTCTTTGTTCCAGCCAGCTCTTAGCCCTCTGATATACCTCCCGCCTTCAAGCAGACCAGTTGTGCTCAGGAAGGTGTCGGCTTTCCCACATGCGAAAACCCAAAGCTGTGCCTGAACTGTGACAGTGACAAAAGGGAAAATCACAGGAAGTAATTTTCTGCTGATCCCAGAGAAGGAACAATTTAACGCAACAGCTAAACGCCTTGCCACCGACTTCACAGGGTCCTGACAGGGCTCCTGTCCCCCTCAGGGACAGCCACATTGCAGGGAGGGGAAAATGAACCCGCACCCCAGGGACTTGCACAAGGCAGGTTTCCAGCTTAGTGCCACATCTGCAAACTCCTCTGGTCACGGAGAAAAGGGGAAACCTTCACCTCCTCCTTGCTTCCAGCGTTTATTGCCTGCAGGGCAGGAGTCAGGCCATTCCAGGGCAGCACGAGCGGGGTGAGGCACAGCTCTCAGGCTCCGTGGTGAAACAAATTGTGCACACGTGGAGCCATTTAGCTCGCCTTGCTTGGATTTGTCTGAGCTGCTCCAAGCCCTGTGCTGTGCTTTGAAAGTATTTCCAAGCTCTTTGGGCTGTTGACACGGTGGATTACCACCTGGCAGAGCAGGAAGCTTGGTCCAAGAAAGGGTAGGGCTTTGTCAGGGAAACTTTTGCCTGCTCGTGCCGGGGATCAGCGCTCCACAAAAAGGGAGAGGCAGGATTTATGGCTAGGAAAGGGAAGATGCTCTCTGGAGCAGAGGGACCAGCTCCTCTGCCTCACCAGGGGGTGCCATTGCCATGGCAAATTTGCTCGCAGCACTAACTCCTGTCAGGCACCATTAATCTCTGGCTGTCGACAGCTCCTGATTTAAGTGCTCCCCCCCCACTTCCCCACCTGCTCCTCCAGCTCCGTCCCCGAATGCTTTGAAGTCTTTATCAGGAGCCGGGCGCGAGGGGGAGGGAGGCAGCAGTGCATGTGGCAGGAGCATGGGAGAAGCGTGCGATCCGCAGGGTTATAAAAGGGGGTGGGGATGGCATGCCAGACAGGCTGCCGGGGAGGAGGGAAGAGGCCTGGCGTTAACACCGAGGGGTTGTGGGGGTTCCCTCTCCCCGCAGAGCACCAGGGAGCTGCCAGCTCTCTGCCATGCTCCTTGCAGGCACATATTCCCCTCTCAGCCCCTAAACGTCCCCTGTCTCCATCTCAGGGTGGCCTTGGGACTGCAAGGAACAAAGGATCAGCAGCCTCCACCCCGGCTTGCTGCATTCCCAGCACTTTTCACCCACCTTTTGTCCTCTGGCTAGCTTTTAACCTCTAAGATCAGTTTTTTTCCCCCCTACCTGTCTCCTTTTCCCCAGGGCAGGTGAGATACCAGGAGGCAGCAATGCTCCAGGTCACTTATCCAGCCCACACCATACTGCAGGGCACACCAGCCCCTCCTGGCCCCCATCGCAGCATCTCCACGCCGTGCAGCCTCTTCCCCGGGGGCACGGCTGGCCAAGAAATGTTGTCCGGCCCCTGGGGCAGGCCCTACTTGCCTTGAAGTACTTGTCCAGGACTTCGCTGTAGTTGCTGCCCTTGGAAAACCAGCCGTCCGGGATGATCTCAGCTTCCAGCCACTGGATGACGCGGCGACGAAGCTCGTCCCTGTCCGCCTGGTAGCAGACAACTGTCACAGGAGACGGGGTAGCGGGGGCAGAGAAAGCAAGGGCGAGAGAAATAATGTTGGCAGGGAGGCCACAGAGAGGGGACAGGGAATAAAAGCCGAGCAGACAGCCCCGACGCCCCTTGGAGGTGATCCACGGCCGGATCCAAGCGGAGGTGCCCAGTGCCGAGCGGGCTGTGGGTGACACCGTGTGGCAAGGCCAGAAAACGACAGCGCTGCCAAAACTCACCGCCTCGCAGTCCCCTAAAGCTTGTAAAGCTTAGAGGGGGTGACGCCGAGCACGTTGTCAGCGCTCTCCAGCTGCACAGGAGCTGGGGGGGACAGCCCCAGAGCTCCTGTGCTGGTTGTCCCCGAGGAACTAAGTCTCTCCCCTCAGTCTGGGTGATGAACACACAGACCCTTGCGTCCCTAGGGGCAAAGTGCTTCGCTTCACCGTGTGCATGCCCAGAATCCCTACGATTTCCCAGCACAGCTAGGAGCCCAGGAGATGTATGAGATCTGAAAGGTTCCCCGGGAGCGAGGAGCTGAGCAATTCAGCTGATTTATCAACCCAGGCTCTGCTACAGCCAGCGCAGAGGCACCTCTTGCACTCAGGGCTGTGCAACTCCCCCAGCACCCCTTCCTCCCCCACCTCTCTTCTCACCTGGACTTGCGGCTGGGTTCTCAGACTTCTTCTCTGTTAAAGGAAAGACAGACGGTGACATTTCTGATGCAACGTGAAGCAACACAAACCTCCTCCCTGGCTCTCGAGGCCTCTGCTTTTTGTCACCGGGCTGTTTTTTGTCACCAGCCACCCCTCACGGCCCCTCGCACAGCGTTACCTTTACAGTGTCCGTCGTAATCCACCTGGATCTTGGAGCCAGTGAGGCAGGCGTCGCGGTGCAGCTCACAGTGGTTCAGGTACGTCTTGCCATTGCTGCCACACACGGGCCTCTTGTGGGGTTTACATTGCTGCAAGGGAGACGGAGAAGAGGGAGTTTTACTAGGGTGCTCGTAACCCCCTCAGACACGTCCCCAGGGAGGGAGGGCTGCCCTGCAGCTCGCAGCCCACTCCGTATCACTCCCCCGGGGGGCAGGTGGCGACGCAGGAGCTGCTGTGCCCCCCTACCTCGATGCAGAGGCAGGTCGGGTCTCCCTTCTCCGTCACTGCGCATTCCCGCCCGGCTCCGCAGAAGACGTTGGCGCAGATTTTCGATTTGCTCCTGGGCTCTTCCTGAAAGACACGAAGGAAGAGACACAAAATACATCAAGTCGCCCTCGGCGCAGCTTTCAGAAATCATCCATGTAGCTTCTAGGCCGGAGCACGGAGCAGCAGGCTGGCAAGGCGTAGATGACAAAGCAAGACAGACGTGACCGCGGTAGATGGACAGCTCGGACAATAACCAGGAGCAGACAAAGGAGCCAGGGTTACAGCCCCAGCAATAGAAGGTTTCCTCGAGGTCATTCCCTGAAAATCACCTCGGAGAGCCGGAGCAAACACAAGCAAAATAAGATCTAGAGTTAAGTGGTGAGAGTAATTCCCCCAAGTCAAGGACTGCTGCCTTCAAATTTATTTCATGGAGGGCAGGCAGCAGAAACGCCTTTGCTTCATACGTTTAAGAAGGTGAATACAACCCCGCAGAAAGGTACGGCACCAAACAGAAGGCAGAAATCGCCCTCAGGCATCAGATAATGCCCCCGTCACAAAAAAAACTTCACAAACCTGCAGGACCCATTATCTTGCCTCCGCTGGACAGGACTAAATGCTTCAAAGGAAGAAGCGCTGTCACGGATAATTACCCAGTAACCTTCTCACAGAGGAAATTTCGTCCTGCTCCCTGACAGCTAGCTGCCGACCTATGCCCTGCAGCACAATTTTTACGCTTTACCATTTTCTCTTAGCCAAAGTCATCGCAAATATTCCTGTTGCTCATGTCATTGTCAAACCCCTTTTCCTTTTTATTTTATTTTAATTTTTTTTTTAAAGTCCCATTGCATTCCCAAACAGTTGACAGCCATCAGGGACGATTTCCACAGGTTAATCGTGTTTTTGAAAAAAAAAAAAACAAACCACCATTTGCTTTCATCAGTTTAAGGTCTTTTTTTTTTTTCCTTAGACTCTTCGAAGGGCAGAGCAGGGCTTCTGAATTGGAGACCCCGGTTTAATTCCTTGGCTTGCCATTAATTTTTGTTGTGACCCTCGTTTACTCTGACACTTTCCACCTCGAAGTGAAGTACCCGGCTCAGGCTTCCCTCAACAGCTTGGTGTCTGAGTCAGAAGCCTGAAGAGTGTAAAACAATTTCTGGGAGAGGTCGATCCCATCTGTTGTGACTTTTTCTGATGCACCAAGATTTCTTACCATCCTCCTCCCGGTCCCGAAGCCCTTCTGTGAGCAGCCGAGGCCCAGCTCTCTGCAGGGCTTGTCAGCTGGCTAGAGGGCAGCTCGTGGCCTCCCTCCTCTGAGGGGTTATCCGCAGGCCCCTCTCATTAAGCCCGTCACCCGGGGTCACGAATCCAGCTGGATCCCATCATCCTGGAGGCCTCGACCAGCTCAGGCAGAAATGGGACACGGCGACAGGGGGAAGGAGGCTTTTCTCCCCGTAACCTAAGAGAGGAGAAGCAAATCTGCCCAAGAGCTGATCTCTCTTACAACAAGATGCTGCTGGCGGCAGGGGAGCCAGGCACACCTCTGGCAGGGGCTGCTCCATGCTAGGGCTCTGTTTTGCCTTTCAAGATCGAAGGAATGCCTGTGCTCTGGCCCCTGCAACCTCATATTTTCCATCACAAGGCAGTGACCGGTGAGGCCCCAGAAGGGGAACAACGACACGGGAATCTGTGGGAGAGGAAATCCCGGTCGCAAACGAGCGTGGAAAATGGCTGCTGCTGCTCCCTTGCTCTGCTGCTCGCCCTAAAAACCCCATCGCAGTCACAGCCCTGAAAACATCACAGCCAAATAAATCCACGCTGTCTCCCAGCCCTCCGCCTGCAGGAGACCAGGGGCTGCTCCGTGCATGCCAGCCCAGGGTGAGGACACCATTTTGGGGTGCCAATTTCCCACTCTCAGAGGCTCTGCAGATCCTCTTGGTCCTGCCAGCAAGATCTGTCGCCCATTCCTCTGGCCAGCTGGGATGATCTCCCCGGGGCGATTCATTTCTGAACGGGACCCAAACCTGCCACGTTTCCTGGCCAAGAGGGCTGAGCAGTTGGAGGCAAGCTGGGATTTACAGCCCTACGGCATCTCCTCACCTCTTCCCGTAACTGCAAGCTCAGGAGGAGCATGGAGAGCTGGAAACACTGAGATTTACTAGCAGCCTCCGGCTTCTTGCACAAGAAACCTCATTTTTTTTCTTGTTCCCTTCACTAATGCAATGGACCCGATGATCCCCCCCTAACCAGCTCTGTGCCTTGGTCCTTCTTTCCCCTCCTTCCACCGCAGCACGTTGCAAAAAGCAGTGGAAATGCTGTGCAGCTGGGAGGAAGCACTGAGCCTTGCTCAGCTCCACAGTGTGAGGCCTGCCCTGAGGATGGGTGAGCCACAACACCCTTCTTGCCCCAAAGCAGAGCTCCCCTCATCATCCTGAGGCTGCTGTGCTGAAAGGCAGCCTCGCCAGCACTGGCAGCCCCAAGGCAACTCTGATTAAGCAGCAAGAGAAGTGATTATTGATTTCCTTTAGCTCCGAAGTAAGGCTGGGCAATGTTTTTCAGGGGGCTGATCCACGGGAAGATGCAATTTGAGGCTGGCCAAAACTATTTGCAAATTTGTACCTAGTTCTGGCAACAGATTCGATCCCCAAATCGTTTTCAAAGAGAACTATTTTCCCTTTTTTTTTTTAAATTTTGAAGTGTATTTCTTGAAGTATTTTATGCAAGCGTAAAGAAAACAAGATAAAAATACTTTTTGGTGTGATTTAACAACTTTTTGTTTGTCTGGTTCTGTTTTTTGTTGAGAATAAAAGAGGAATTTCAGCTGATGAAATGAAATTTTTGTTTCGACTCTTCGACTCAGCTAAGGGATTAAAAAGAGGAGACGATTATTCCTATGGCTTTTTTCCTAAAACATCACTGCTTGGTGTCTAAACCAACCTATTCTCGCTCTTTCATCTCCTTCCATCTGGCCCTTGGTGACAGTGTCTGGGAATAAGGCAGAACTGCCACAGACACCCCTCTCCCCGCTCCCTGCCATCATGGAATTTGTTCCTGTCTAGCTGGGAAGATTGCTGGTGCTGACTCCCATGGCTAGACTCTGGAAAAAAAAAACAAAAACAAAAACCAACAAACAAACAAAGACAAAAGCCCCAGCTCCCTTTGGTGGTTACGATAACCCAAAGAGATGTTGCTTCGGGGAAAGCAGCCTTTCCTCTGAGTCACTCCAGCAGAGCAAACAGCGCTGATTTTACGAGGCAGCTCTCAGCCAGAATTTTACTGGGGAAACACCCTTCTTCACCCCGCTCTGCCGCAAGTTGTTCCCAGCAAAGGTGCTCCTGGCAATAAACTTTTCTCTCTGATGCATCTCTGCTACACCACCTGTCCTGCTGGCTGCTTCATTTCTCTTCTCCAGTGTCAGATCTTGGTCATTAAGCGCTGAACTGCCTCCAGCTGCTAGCAGCTCTCCTTGCTCCAAGGTGTTGAGCTGAAAACCGTTTTTCCCCCCTTGATTAGTTTTCGGTTTTCTTAATGGTGTTTGGCAGTCGTGGTCTTCGAATGCTTTTAATGTTTTAGGTAAGAATTTGGGTTTTGGCTCTTTGGGTCAAAAGGAAAAACATAACGGGATTTCCACTGCTTTTTAGTGATGATCTCTTGGACATGTTCTCTCAAAGGGGTCAGGAATAAGAGTGTTCTCCTTACCCTCTTTCCCAAGAGGTTGGTTTTACTGCCCTCCAGCAATGCTCGCCACCACAAACATTTGCCTTTGGGTGACACAGTCATTGCAAAGCTCCCATCAGGATCACACAGGGTCTTTTATAAAATATTTTGTGTTTTGACTGTTATCAACAACATTTTTAAAGAAGCAGGGGACAGAAAATGCCTCCTTTGCGATGGAAATCTTTGGGACAGCCAATCCAGGCCCCGCTTACCCCCATTTTACACCCAGAAGAGGGCAAAGAAAAGTTTCAAAACGCTAAGACAATAACCAGGGAGATAAGTCACATCTGCCAAATTCCCCACTGGAAATGATCCCTTCAGGACAAAGTTGAGTTCCCGTCCAGGAATGCAGAGGATGGACTGGAGCGGGAAGGAGGGCGCCTGCATCGCTGCCTCTCCACCGCTATCTGCTCGCTGGATAAATAATGGACTTCTGTCTCCAGGGTTGCTAATCGGCTCTAAATGCTCTCAAAGAAAGCAAACAGCACAATAAGAAAGCCCAGAAATAAATCCATTTCATAATAAATTCATTTTGTTTTCACTCCATTTTTCTTGCTAGTGAAAAATTTAGGTTAAGCTAAGCGCTTTCTTTTCCCAGCAATCTCCGCTCGCTGTTGGCTAATGCAACAGAAAGTTCTGCTTTCGACAGTGTAATGGCTCTAGTTATGAAGAAAACACAATTATATTATTTCCCAAGACGAATTCCACAGTATTAAATGTCTGAGCAATGCTGCAGCGTCTTTGAAGCTGGTGGTGCAGGAATTTTACATGGGGAGATAGGAAGACATGAGGAGCTTTCACAAGAGAGATATTTTTCTGCACGGATCTCCACTGCTCAGAAACGGAGAGATTTTGAACCCGGGATGCAACCTGTACCCTGGATAACTGGGTTATGCAAGCTTTTGTTCCTGCACTACTTGCAGTTGTGCCCCAGTGTCACTGCTAACTAGAAGTTGTACCCATCTCCTCGATGGCACGCATGAAACAACCTCAGCATCAGTTCATCTCAGTGCTGGTGTTCATAATAAATTCATCAGCAATGACTTAGGCTGCTAATCAGGGAGTAAGGAGCAAGAGTTGAGTTGGGAGTACTAAAGGGAATGAGTTTGAAGCAGATCACCAAGATTCGACAGGTATTTCAATAATCCCCCATGTCTAGGCTAATCCCAGCAAAGCTGTCTGAAGTTCAGCCGGTGACAGCAATACCCCCGGGCGGATGGCAAAGCCACGAAATGTCTGACTGAAAGCACCCTGAACACCATGCAGAAAGGGAAAACTGGGGGAAACTCGGCCATTCTGGGACTCAACTGTGCTGTCAAGTGTCCCCCTGCCACGTTACGGGTGGAAGGGGTAGCACCCAACGCTGAAAA